ACATACACGATTCGGCCGGCAGAAGATTTCTTCGCAAGAACGAAGAGAATGAAGAAACGTCTGAGGAGCGAGCCCCAAATTTCAATTTGGCGAATTTAAATGAGGAGATTTTTAATGTGGCTGCGTTGACGAAGAAAGCAGATGCCAAAAAGCTAGCGAAACAGCTCATGGGTAATGATAAGATGGCGAAAGCAGCATACGTTTGGTGGCAGCACAATGGTGTGACGCCAAGCCAGATTGACACGTTCCTGAAGCTCGCAAGCGGCAAGACGCAAGGCGCAAGATACAATGAGATCTACAATAGCTACCTGATGCACCTGGGGCTCACTGCATATTAGTTGTCGGAACACCATTTCTGATTCTGATGTACTTCAAGCTGAAACGCTCGTGACTTTCGAGTCGAAGCGCGAGGAATTTTTAGAGTAAGGAACCAAAGCGATAAACGCTTAATCTTAGCAAATTGAGATGCCACAAACATTTGATCTCGATGGCTTTTGGTTTTTGAAATCGTTCCTTGTGACTTCTACTTGCATAATCTGGTGCAAGTGTAATTGTCGTTTTCATTATAATCTTTGTAGACGAAAAAAATAATCGAGTCAGCCCTCTTCACTGCCCTTCGCTTGTTTCAAGAACTTACGTCTAGGCGAATTAAGGGCTGTTGAATTTCTTTCACTTCCATTTTTTTTAGTTCTGACCGCATTCTGTCGATGCTAAATACTGTGCCCGCTTTCAATTGCAGTAACGGTGCAGCTTAAAACGGTGCAGATGGAACCATTTTACGACTTGCGCGTACTAAAGTTTTCGTTTAATGCATATCAATAGTATTGCTGGTACACCTTTCAGAACGAAGCCATTTCACGACGTCAATGAGACCGCAGCATTGATAGGATGGCAATCTCGCTCGATTTTGCTCTCAAGACGCAGCATCGGCTTAATGAAGGAATTTAAAGACGCAGCAGCGTCAGGGCTGGCACTACTATTTTTAATAGAGGTCAATTCGTAAATCTTATTGGTATGACCTTTCAACCCCCAGAATGTGTACTCTACATTTTAAAGAGTAGTAAATTTGCTCTCGTAAACGCCATATTTAATGCACAATTCTCGACAAAAGATATGTATACCGGTACATTCCGTCGAAAATTGTCTTTTTATTCACACCAAAAGCGCTTATATATTCCATATTATGGCCGGAAATATATGCGGTTAAAGAAAACCGTTGTTTTTCGGCTAAGTACGCTCATACAATTGCTGTTGTTGATGACAACCACTACAGTACTATGGTATATATAAGCGCTTTTGGTGTGAATAAAAAGACAATTTCGACGGAATGTACCGGTATACATATCTTTTGTCGAGAAATTGTGCATTAAATATGGCGTTTACGAGAGCAAATTTACTACTCTTTAAAATGTAGAGTACACATTCTGGGGGTTGAAAGGTCATACCAATAAGATTTACGAATTGACCTCTATTAAAAATAGTAGTGCCAGCCGTACTAGTCGAGTCACTCACAATCAGTAGCATCATTCGATAGGCGAAGGAAAGTTTATCGTCCATACAAGCTTTCATGCCTCCAGGTTTAAAAATTAAGACCTAGCGAAGACTTTTCAATTTTCCATACAAACTTTCCGTCATGATATCTTCGAGACGAAGTGGCCGATTTGATTCAAACTTCGACCAGAAAATTCACCAAGCGCCAAATTGTAATTTAGACCAATCAGTGACCACTTAGCGTCTTTCCATTGATCACTATTAACCCATATATGCTCAAGTACGAGTTTGTTGCTACATGTATGACGTCTAGACTTGTTTCACTTTCTGTGTATACTTCCTTGGCCAAAAATATAAGCGGTAAGAGAGGTCAGAACTACTTGAAGTGGATTGCGTTAAACTGGCAACTAATTGGTCAAAATTATTATCCGGATTGCCGTATATATTTCTGGTCGAAGTTTGAATAAAATCGGCCAGTCGGTTGCAAGGAGATCATGACGCAAAGTTTGTGGTGCCGAATTGAAACTGATAAGTCTTCGCTACGTCGTAATTTTACAAATGGGTGGCGTGAAAACTTGTAGAGACGTAAAACTTGCCATGGTCTATCGAATGGTGCTACTGATAGCGCGTAACTCAGCTTTGATTCGTTTTTAGACAGGTACTGTAGCCCGCTTCTATTTCGTAAATCTTAATTTAAGACAGGCAGAAGCTCACGATTTTCAGTAAAATGGACAGTATTGCACTTTTTAAACGTGAAATTTTGGCATGCCTGTACACTGTGCAGTGCACAGTAGCGTGGTTATCGACTTTGCTTCCTTTAAATGTTCGATTTCCAAGCTGACCAAACAGTTTTTGTCAACAACGAATTTGACATTCAATAAGATCGATGGCTACTTGTAGATTTTGATCAACTCGGTACGACACCGTCGAGAGAGAAATGAGATGTACTCAAGCAGCCTGCTTGAAGCAGGAATTGAAACAAGATGCATGTACCAGCGATTCCGTGAATCGACACTACAGAACTTAGCTCAAGTAAGTGATGAGTTCTCAAGTAGTACAGCTGTAGCTCTGATTCTTTTAACGAATGATCACATTTATACTACTGTAGTAAAATTGTGGGCGCTCATTGCATTCTGTAAACTTGCGCGTTTTATTGCTTGGTTTGTATACGCATTGACTTCGGGTAAGGAATGTTGGATCCTTCTGCACGAGGCCGCTTGCGATACGTTCGTGACTGTCTTTGTTTCAACAATGCTTTGCCTGTCCTTGTATTCTCCGGATTCTCTCGGGACGACGATCCTCCAATATCTAGGCGCCGTGCATCGTCTCCTGAACGGCGCAATTGGACTCGTGTCCTGGTATATTGACCATTCGGCACTCTTGTGACTTTTCCAGCCTTCACCAGTTTTTTTTTTAGCTCCATTTCCCGGTTTTGAGCCTGCTTCGAAGCCTTATTTATGGAAATGTTCTCAGCTTTAAGCGCGTCAATCTGTGAACAGCAAGTAATTACAAGCACGGTAAAAAGATATGTAGCAAGTTGTTTTGTTGTGTACCTTGGCTTCTAGTCGACATTTATTCTTTTCAGCATTTTTAGCTGCAGTTGTAAGTCGCCGGTTCTCAGATTCAACAGACGATAGCGAAATCCCTTCACGATGCACTTCACATTTTCGTTGTTCAAAGTGTTGCTGCTGCTCTATCCATCTTGATGCGGTGGCGGCTGGACACTCGAGTTGCTCTATTTCCAATCGAGCTCGTTGTAATGCGCTCTCGAACGTCTCAACCATCGCTCGGTGTTTCGCTTTTACCCGTTTACTGTCTTTGACGAGGTTCACCACCATGCGATGCACCAAATTGCTCGGCATCGACCCGATCAGAGCCGCTAGACATACGCAGTTTAAGACAATGCAGATAGGATTGCAGTTATACATGGCTACAGACCTTCCGCCTCGGGGAACGTCACGATCCTGTCCATGCAGACGGACTCGAAGTGCTTTGTCACAAACCGGAGGCATCTGACAGCAAACGGTATCAGTAGAATTCGTCAGCAGGTGGATAGTATGACCCGACAGTTGTCAATGCTAGAGCGACCAACGCACAGATCTACTAGTGAGGGCACTTGGACCCTCCTGGTGGTTTTGTCCTGCTCTGCTGCTGCCATTTCCTCTTCAGTTGGAGGAAGAACGGAGCGACACTGACGCATGTGGATGGGCGTCCGAGACCCTGCCTGAATCGTATTCAGTGAATACGCACCCGATTGCCGGTACTCTACGGTCTGGAGATGAAATACCGGTACCAGCTAGGTTTTTCTTTAAAAAAATGCGTATGTGGGATTGGTCAATAACCATTTGCGCTCCATATGCTTGGTTGAAATATGTACGTCTTTTGTAAGCAAACTGATTGGCCTTTTCTTCGACCCGATGCGCGATGACTGTCTCGATTGGAGGTAACATACCGGTACCTGCTTCTAGGAAATGCACCGACTAGATGCAACAGATCCCTGCACCTGCACAACTTACAGCTTATTAATACCAATGGTACCGATAAGTTACCATACGAACAGTATCTGTATCGACTACTGTATCCATTCATGTAAGCACAACATCAGAAGGCGTCAAATAGCACAAGGCTAGTTTCTCTCGTACTTTTATAGTTAGTTTTATCACTTGAGATACACCCGGGCCCAGATGCCCGGGGCATTCGCAGTTCTCAGCTCGCGCATCGATACTATCGTACTGGCGAGATGAGCTGATACACGAAAAAAAAATTTTGCGATAACTTCGGTCCAACGCAACCGGTAAACACACCAAACTAAAGCTGAAGAAGCGTAGAATACAGCTAGATCTGCAACCACAGCAACAAAACTTTTCAGGTCTATATTGCAGAAACAACTGGTGCGAAAATCGCCTCTACATAGACGGGCGTTCTCGTTTTTTACGATATCTCTGAGGGCTACTGTACATACATGAAGCTGCTCTCAAGCTAAAATCCAACGTCTAAACTAACAGAAATATCGCACAGGGCCGGTCTTATAATACGCGGGACGCAAGGCGGGGCCAATCACAGCTCTCATTTGCGGGGTGGGGCCAGACGTGACACTTCCATTAAATCTTGAAGCTATTATAATACAGTGATAATATCACCTGGTAGACGAGTTGATATATAAAATAACACCTAATATTTTCTTCTTAAACAAGCTGATATTATTAAATATCAGCTTAATCAAAGTTAATACGAAATTTAATTGATTTTAAAGATGGCGAAATCGGTTTTTATCCACCAATCATATGCCATTAAAGATCGACTAGCTGAAGTATTACTAATCAACAGTGAGTCCCGAACAATTGTGAGAGTGACAGGTGTTGGCACTGCTGAGCGCATTAATCTAGCGTCAAAGGCTGCAGGGTTATGAGACGCACGATCTGGACGAAGCTATCGGCAATTAACAAGAACAAATATCTTGATTTCGCTCTATCGACTTCAAACAGCTGCAACCGGCTGCAGTTTTCCATCTAGAACGGCTTTGTCTGTGTCACAGTGAAATATTAAAGCAAGTAATCGTCAGTATTAAAGCCTGCTATCCCTTCTGCTGCTGTAGAGCTTTACCGAAACAGTTCTTTCACAGGGTAAGGTGGCAAGAAGCGTACTTAAGTGGGAATTAAAAAAAATCATCTAGTATCATATCTTTTTCAAATTTCCGAGTAAACCTTTTAAATATTATGTTAACTTTTGAAAAATTGAGCTACTATTAATATTTAAAATCGAAAATGATACTTTTACAATTATGAATATCATATGATGGGATCATAATGTTGCACGGATTTACACAAAGCTCGCAATGAGTGTTTAGCATTTGCATTCCTAGAACAAACACAATGAATAATGGAAAATAAGCCTGCACGTCAGCTGCTAGAATGTCCTCGTTTCATTTCCAACTTTCAAGAGGAGGATTGATGACCACCAGGCAGTTTGGTGAATAGTGCTCGTCTATGACACAAAGGACGGAAGTCACCAATGTGGTCAAATCGTCCCGCTATCCGTAGTGGACAAATTTCGGGCCACTTTTCAAATGCCTTCAAAAAAATATGTAAAAAATAAAAAAAAACCATTTTGCTAAAGTACTTAAGCTGTAGTTTTTGCTTTTTCCTACTACTACTTGTAGTAGAAATTAAATGATGACATCATTCATATAAAAAATGTGAGCGCTCTTGCATTCTGTAAATTTGTGCATGTTATTGCTGGTTATGTAACCACATTGACGCCGGGTACGGAATGTTGGATCCTTCTGCCCGAGGCCGCTTGTGATACGTTCGTGCCTGAGTTTGTTCAGAAGATTTTATACCTGTCGTTGTATTCTCCAGAATCTTTCGGGACGACGATCCTCCAATATCTGAGAGCCTTGCGTCGTCTCCGGAACAGCGCGATTGGCGTCGTGTCCTGGTATATTGAGCTTGCACTCTCGTGGCTACTCGAGCTTTCCCCAGTTGATTTCTCAATTCCATCTCTTGCCTTTGAGTTTCCTTCGAAGCCTTATTTAAGGCTACGTTCTCAGCTTTTAACGTGTTAACCTGTGATCAGCAAGTAAATAAAAGCATGGTACACAAAAACGTGTAGCAAATATTTTTGTGTACCTTGGATTGTAGTCGGAGTATAATCTTTTCAGTCTTTTTAGCTGCAGCTTCAAGCTGCTTGTTCTCACATTCAGCAGACGATAACGCAATCTTTGACGCATACACTTCGCGTTGTAGTTGGTCCGAGACGTGCTTCTGTTCTGTCATTTTCGCTCGACTGATGGCTGCCCATTCCCGAGCTGACTCAAGTTGCGCTACATCGCGTCGAGCTCCTTGTAAAGCGCTCTCTAGCGTCTCAATCATCGCTCGACTCGCTCGGTTTTTCTTTCTTACCCGTTTACTGTCTTTGACGAGGTTCACCACCATGCGATGCACCAAATTGCTCGGCATCGACCCGATCAGAGCCGCTAGACATACGCAGTTTAAGACAATGCAGATAGGATTGCAGTTATACATGGCTACAGACCTTCCGCCTCGGGGAACGTCACGATCCTGTCCATGCAGACGGACTCGAAGTGCTTTGTCACAAACCGGAGGCATCTGACAGCAAACGGTATCAGTAGAATTCGTCAGCAGGTGGATTGTATGGCGCGAAAATTGTTAATGAAAGAGCGACCAACGCACAGATCTACTAGTGAGGGCACTTGGACCCTCCTGGTGGTTTTGTCCTGCTCTGCTGCTGCCATTTCCTCTTCAGTTGGAGGAAGAAGGGAGCGACACCGACGCATGTGGATGGGCAGTGAAGCACGTCCAAAACCCTGGTGGCAGTGTGGACACGTGACCATCCCACGTAGACGCACATGCTCGGACAGCTCGCCAGACACCTGCAGCGCTGCCAGCGCCCGCACATTCTCGTCATTCATATCTGCAAAAAGACCTTTCGGATTGGACAAAAATGACGATTTTTCAAATAAGAGGTTAATAACTTCAAAAGTGTCCTTTGTTTTATATTTGTGAGTTCCCAGTCTTGAGCGCGCTTACTATCGACCTATACTGTACTTGTCTTGTTGCTAACGTTTTTGATTGATTGAACAAGCTTAGAATATAGCAAGAATTAACTTTAAATTTTATCCTAATCGTTTCAATAGGACTGAAAGGCTCAAACTTGGACGTGCAGTGCGGTAATTTTGCTCTAAACGATACTCGGCATCACTGCCATCGACCACATAAAAGCTCACGCGACCTTCACCTTTATTGGCACAAATGTGCGTCAATACTATTCCAAAATACAGCTTGGGAGGGACTCGATGATTGTCTTAAATAGCGATAGTTTGCTAGAACATGCGATTGATATTGACAAAAGTAGATAATATTGGGTTAAAAAGGTAAAGTTGCTTTGTCCTCCCATCGACTCACGGAATGCGTAGGCTTGAGGCACAAACACTCGCTCGAAGGGTTTATTATACCGGACAGCTACAGCAACAAAATCACATTTTAAACTGTAGTGGCGCATTGCAGTATAATCCGTGCAGAGATTACAGACAACGACGGTGAAATCCGCCATACCTTTGAAACACGCCCGAGTCCAAAAGCATGCCAGTTTCAGCCAATCCGTATGTCGTATTTGGGCGTTTCTGTACAATCCACCCAGGACGTGTTGATTCCTGCAACGTTTCTGTACATTTTGGAATCGTTTGTGTACATTTTGGAATCGTTTTTGTACTTTGTGCTCAGACTTTGAACTGAAACTGCAGCTTTCAACCAATCAAATAATATTCTTGTCGCGCGTCATTTTTTAATTTGTACGAAGGATAGTGTTCAGACACCAGGCGGATTTCACCGTCGTTGTCTGTACATGTTTTATTTGTTGTGCACTTTCCACGCATGTGCTTTGGTAAGGTATTTATCGCACGCTCTCGAAACACATTCTGATAATCGAGGTAAAACATTTATGCTACCGCTATTAAGGAGGGTAGTACGTCAGAAAAATTGTTTAAACTTCGAAGGCCGCGGCTGGCATCAAACATCAGGATAGGATGTGGGAGACACAAATTCTGTTCATTTTGGTCTCCGGATTTTCTATCCAGTTTTAGGAGGCGGGTTATCCGGTTCAAAAACTATTCTAGCTTCTTATACCCAAATTCCAAACTAACGTTTTCAGCATAAAACTTAATTAAGCTTACTTCAGCGGTTCATGCGTCTATTAAATAAGATCTAAATTGGATTACCGTACCTAATATAGTGCGTTTTCTCCTCTAAACGTGTGTATCCTGTCGTTTTAGTTTTGTAGTGGATTCCAGGTTATCCGCTTGGATCACCGCAGTGGAACCCAAAGTTTCAAAAATCCACTTCTGGCGTTAGCGGCGTGCTTAGGCGACGACGAGTGATGTCTTCGTAGAAAACACTGAGTGGATGTGCATGAGTCCGACGGCCGCCAGGCGAGGACATTGAATACAGGTCTGTGATGGTCTGTTATGCCAAGACGACGAATAGTGGTGTCTTGAGCTGTATAAGGCTTTAGTATGCCCTACTGCATGTTTCCTTTCATATGGATCCATGTGCATTCTCAGCAGGCTTATTACGACAGACTGGCTCTCCTTGAGTTCCTCTTGGTAAGCTCGAGCTGGTTACCATCCGACTTACGGTCTTATTAAATGATTTCCTTTCCAATCTTTCATGTCATCAACAAATCTAAACATTCGGATACTACTTCCGTGCGGGTTGGCCCCCGCATTGCTGTGTTGGGTTTTGGTATTCGGACCCGGGAAACACTACCTACCATTGTTTAGTAAGAATTCTACTGCTTGACGTCGTCAACTCACCAGACAACCCCTCTCAGTGGACAGCCGAGGCCACATTGACTTACCGACTTCTGACTCAGCAATCGTTGGTGGACCTTTAAGTATCCAGTGTAAGGCATCATAATGCATGCTGCTGGAATGAACGGCCTTACGGGGACTGGCCCACTCCTCATGCCGATTCTTCTCCCATGAGGTCTATGTGCGCTGGAAGCGCGAGCGACATGACCATGTGTCAAAGATGCAAGCTCGCTGTCGCGTAGCTGGCGAAGACTACGCTGTAGTAGTGCAGTCGATTCAAGACTCTTTTCAAACCCAACTGCTTGACGTGTTCTGCGAGCGGCAGCTCAACGTGGCCTCTGCCGATGTTACGGAAATCATGCTGAAAGCCGAGATCGAGAACATCGTCAGCAGCATCAAGAACGACAAGTTGCCCGACATCAAGGAGAAGCTCAAGAAAGATATACCCATGAGCCGCGAGAGTGATGTGAGCGCTCGCTTGGTCGACTAGTACAAGATTTAAACCCCATCGTGGACGAGAGCGGTCTCACGGAGTGTTGAGGCGGAGCTAATGGCAAAAAGAGAAATGCAAGAGATTGCTCGAAAACCTGCTCCCAATGTCGCTAATACAGCTTTGAAGCAGTGTATTTGTTGCACCCACGTGGATCCCGCCAAGGACCCGAAGGTTTTGTCTGCCTCATATTGGACTAGGCGAACGAGCTGAAACGCCAACATGCGCGACTGAAGCGCGATAAGCGAGATGTGCCGGGCCACACCAAGGTCAAGCCCAAGTTCAACCAGCCTGATAAGAAGAAGAAGAATCGCTGAGACCCAAAGAAGCCTACGGCATTAGCCGCTGATGCAGGTGCTACGCCTGGGACCGACCCTCAACCGACACCAAGCCCAAGGCTTCGGTTTCAACTTCGCCAAAACTCCCGCCTGCTCCTTGTTCAAAATACCAGAAGATGCATTGGCTGCGATATTGCCCACAGGCTTGCGCCAAGAGAGAGATGAGCACTGGAAGAAAATGCGTGATGCCCGTGGCGAAAAGAAGAAGGCAAGGCTGAAACGACTAGGTGAATCGCTTCCGTCTGCTGGCCGCGTGGTACTTTTGAACGGATAGCTTGGGTTTCTGTACAGCCCCGACAGTGGATCTGACTAAACAGGCATTGGACACTCGAACCGGGAGCAGCTGAAGACTTTGGACCCAAGTGTAGCGGCCGAGGAGCCAGACGTTTCCCATCCCGAACCGGACCTCGATTCGACGAGCGTGGTGGCCAAATAGAAGGCCAAGAACGTGATAATTCACACGGCTGCTGAGCCGGTGGCGCGAATGAGTGCTGTGGATGTTCTCGGGGTTGACATTGACGACGGAGGGCTTATGGTACGAACGACCTGTTGACCTCGCTAGGATTTGATGTTGTCAGCTACAACAGCTAGCTACTCGCAGCGATGCTGATATCAGTAGTGTCCAATTGACTTGGAGGCGGACGCGATGCCAGTGAAGCTGTACGGATCGGAGCCAAGTGGTGACCAAGACATTTTAGCTGCTGTGGAGAAATTAATCGATCATGCGGTGGAGAACGGGTTTCCGCTGGAGCATGTGGAGGAGTTGCGCAGCATTGCGTACGACGTGTAGCGTCTGGAAATGCTTTATGACCCACCGGCTGACGTGCCACAGCTGGAAATGTGATTGAAGGAAGGGGCTCGTCGAACAAAGTGTAAGCTCCGCAAATATCGTCTGCACACCCGCAAACTCTTACCTGATTTCACTGCCCGTCTTGTGAAACTAGGATTGGTCTATGAGAATCCCAAGAGTCGATGGTCGAGCCCCGTGCTTCCAGTCAGGAAGCCAGCAGACGTCGTGGACCTGCGGCAGACCACGGACAACAGCGCAAGAAACGAGCAGACTGAAGCCATGGCGGCAGCAATGCCAATTTTCGTTTTGGTACTCGAAAATGCACGTGATATGAAACACTTTGGACTTTTCGATTTGTCTAAAGCGTTTCAAGTGACTGCCCTTGGCTGCGCTCTGTCAAAAGCTCATGTCCTACATGACCGACGAGAAAATCTTTACTCCTCGCAAGGCTGCGTCGAGGCTGTCATCCATTTCCAGACGACAATGGATGAGTGCTTCGCCAGCTTGCTGTACAAACACCTCTTTGATTTGGACTGAAGATAAGCGCAAAGAAGTCAAGCCTTACCAAACCGAGGAGCAGTGGTGCGGCCGATTGATTAATGACTAGGGTGTACGACATGATCCGGCGCGGATCGACACCCTACAAACACTACCATATCGACAGCTGTTGGGGAATAACTGCAATTCGTGTGAGCGATCAATTTAAAGCGATTGATTTTGCACGCCACGTAGCACCTTTACAACTTCGGCTTGACGAAGCACTTACTAGCACAAAGCGTACACACTGTGCTGCAGCAGGAGTCGAGTCGATTTGACCCGTGAGGAGTGACTATCTTTCGACCGGATGAAGGAGATGTAGGCGTCATCTGCCACGCCGGATCTCCCCGACGACAACGCCGGATAAATTTGACGTGGGCTGGGCTGCCATCATTACCCAAGTGAAGGAGTATAATTTGACGCGACCAGCCACCGAGTAACAGCACCATCGCATCCAGTGCATGAGCGAGGGATTTACCGGCAGATAGCTAAACTGGGCTGATATCGAGAAGGAGGGCCTGCCTATAGTATTGGCTTGTGAAAAGATGAACTACTGGCTGCTACGTCCACAACCATTTCGAATGTTTCCGACCACAGGAATTTATTTCACGTTTTCGCGCCGCATGATAGTGTTAGGAATCGCATCAAAGGCTAGCTGCTCCGGTGGGCGGTGCAATCGATGAACTTTCGATACACTGTGGAACACGTACCAGGCCCTCACAACGCTTGGGCCGATATTATCTCTAGGTGGGCTGGAACCCACGCCTCCGTAGTCACTGAGAGGAGAAACAAGGTTTTGCGTCGACAGAGAGAACCGGTCCGACCAAAGCTACGCCCTTTGGATGACTCCACCTTCGCCTGACCTACACTTGAGGAGCCCAACACCATGCAAGCCGAATATCACCCGCCATCAGGAGCGAAGACAGCGGATGTCTGAACGATCGCGTTGGATGGCCAAATCTGGGTGCCGCTCGAGGTTCCGAAGCTGATTCAACGCCTGTGCATCGTTGCATACTGCGGACCTCAAGGCCATTGCCGCCAACAGACTAGGTTCGCTAACCTTCGTCAACGTTTACCATCTCGTAGCTATCGTGCAAAGATTGTGAGCAAATGCTTGTTGTGTCTGTAACGTCGAGGGGGGGGGTAATCCTATGACCATGGAGTCTAGCGATCTATTGCAGCGCCCGCAGTGGCGTTCTTCATTTTGATTTTCTGACGATGGGACCAACTATGAAGCCAGCAAGTATATCCTCGTATTGAAGGACCTCGCTACCCGCTACTGTGAATTGGTGGTGGCGGACACGGTTGACAGCAGAATCACAGCTGAGGCACCGTTGACTTGGCACTTACGGTTTCGCATTCCACCCAGCTGGATGTTGGACCGGGGAACCTATTTCAAGAAGGAGATTGTTGCCGAGCTCAGTTGCAGACTGCGTACACAGCAGACCTCGCGCCCGCATACAGCCATTGAATTAATGGATCCGTCGAGAAAATCAATCGTGACATACTCCAAGTCATCAGGGCAATGACGTTGGCGTACAAGATCACTCCGAAGGAATGGGTCGATCTGGTCCCCACGGCACAATTTGAACCTTATAGCCTTACCTTCGCTTGGGAACCATTCACCATTACAACTTTTCACTGGACTCCAGAGCCCGACTCCTTTGCGAGAACTTTATCTTCCGGATCAGAACAAGCTCCAGGAGGCTTCTGACAGTGAAGAGATTGAAGGTTTCCCCGCAGAGCTGCGTGAAAGCATCCAAGCAATTTGGAGGATCAACGGTTCAAGCAACGCCTCTTGATTAAGAAGCGCGAGCGCGGTATAAATCTGGTGAATTTCACTGTTGGCGACTTTGTTCTCCGTTCGCGAGTGGACGAGAAACACGGGAACAAACTGCAAGCTACTTGGGCTGGACCTTATCATGTCGTACGAGCGGGTATCCATTCGTATCGAGTGCAGCACTTAGTCGCCGGTGACGAATAGGACGTGCATGCATCAAGATATAAGATGTACGCCGACGAGTCTGAAAGTAACCGACGAGCTGTTGGAGCACGTGTCAGCACAAGGTATCGTGCTAGCTTTTGACAAGCGGAAGGATCACCGTTGGATCAGTGACATCAATGATTTCGAGATACAGGTCGGATGGAAAAGCCTCAAATCGTTTGAAGATTTAAACGAGCCTCTGACTGATCTCGCGAAGCAAATTTGCGTCCTTGTGGACAGCTACGCGCAGCAATCTGATGGTCAAAGACTTCAAGATTCCTGGCAGACTCTGCAATCAGGTGAACAACAGCAACAATCTAGACCCATCACTTCCAGTACATGTGACACGCGTACGTCTCAGCAAGGTGCGCGGCCGGCACGACGCTAACACTGAGGAAAGAAGCGATGACGTCAAACTGCATTGGCGCGAGAAGCTCAGCAGGACGACAACCCAGGTGAAGATGGCAATCTTCCCGCAGGTGTAATTGCAAATCCACAGCAGGCCGCGACTGGGATCAAGGACGATCAAGCAACTCAACGACCGGTAGGGCGATGGACACAGTCACGTACCGCAGCTGCTAGAGTCACGACGTTTCCTCGCAGCACTTCGAGTCGATCCAATCGTCGTCGTAGGGGCCGCGGCCAGCGCAGCTAGTACTGTTTATGGGACAGGCTGCTGTAGCGGTGTTCGAGCATGCGGTGACATAGCTTTGGAGGTTGTGTAGTGGATTCCAGGTTATCGGCTTGGATCACCGCAGCGGAGCCCAAAGTTTCAGACATCCACTTCTCGCGTTAACGGCGTGCTTAGGCGACGCGTGATGACTTCATAGAAAACACCGAGTGAATGGGTATGAGTCCAACGGCCGCCAGGCGAGGACACTGAATGCAGGGCTGTGATGGTCTGTTATGCCAAGACGACAATTAGTGGTGTTTTGAGCTGTATAAGGTTTTAGTAGGCCCTACTGCATGTTTCCTTTCATATGGATCCATGTGCATTCTCAGCAGGCTGTCCACGACAGACTGGCTCTCCTTAAGTTCCTCTTGGTAAGCTTGAGCTGGTTACCATCCGACTTACGGTCTTGTCAAGTGACTTCCTTTCCAATCTTTCGAGCCATCCGCAAACTAATATATTCGGCTACTACTTCCGTGCGGGTTGGCCCCCGCATTGCTGTGTTGGGTTTTGGTATTCGGACCCGGGAAACACTAAAAGCTTGTATCAGAAACAGCACCTTTACTTCAATCAATAATAATGGAAATATAAATCTGAATATCCTTTGTACCAATGATGTCACCTAGATGAATTTTGGTTATGGCGACCAAGGGTAACATCACTGTAAATTACGACTAGCCGAGGTAATTAAATTCGCGTGAATGTCGCTCGAACAGACTTCAGCTTTCACGCAGATAGTGCGGCTGCGGAGCAGGTGCAGCAGATGCGTACGACATACCATACCACCAACATCTCTCGTGATATCGCAGTGCGACTCGCACAGTGTGATCGCCTATTTACTACGGTACAGTAAATGTATACAGTAAAGTGCGGTAATAAGAAACGCATGGGAATTAATATTCTTGTAAAGTTTGTACAGATCAAATTGAAAAGTACCTTTCTCTGGCACTTTGAGAAAGCTAACCCTTTCGTGCATACTGTCGCACATTATAATACAGTAAAACTAATAGTGAAGCTGCCGCCCTACTGTAGTGTAATCCAGAGCTTCTATGTGAAACACGGATTTGTTGCATTTCAGAGGTTCTTCTGGTTATAGTGAAGAATGTACGGTGTGCTTGACGGGGAAGTTAGAATGTACGAGTCAGGCGAGGCGAGAGTATCTACTAGCTGAACTAGGCGATGCAACTATGCATACCAGAACGCACCCGTCGATTTCGTGAATCAGCACTACAAATCTTAAAAGTAGTAGCTCTGATTTCTTAATCGAAACATCACATATATAAAAAGGTGATCTCTCTTTGCATTTTGTAAACTTGTGGGTTTATTGCTGGTTTTGTAAACAAATTGACATTGGATAAGGAATGTTTGATCCCTCGGCACGAGACCGCTTGGGATAGACCTGTGGCTGTCGTTGTTGCAAGAATGGGTTGTCGTTGTGCTCTCAAGAATGATTCGGGATAGTGATCCATCAATACTCGAAGGATACGAGAGCTTCCAGTGGGCTTAACTGCGCCGATTAGTTGCCGAGTGGTGTGTTATTGGATAACCCAGAATAATTTGACCTATTCTATATCTGCACACATTTTGCCTTGATCTCATATAAAATCTATCTATTGGTCGTCATTTTGTCCAATCTGAAAGGCTACCGACAGTTGTCGAGGGTATGCTGGTGGTAACACCAATAAATGTACCAGCCAAATCTGAAGCTTGTCAGATTGCGCTGGGCATGCCAGCAACAGATGCGCAAGTGTCTCTTTCTGCTCGACGCATCATTTCCATTTAAATGGCATTTCTAGCCCGAGATGATCCTTACAGACAACGACGGTGATATCCACTAGAGTCCAAACTTGCTTTTCCTACTCATGAAACCAGTTTCAGCCAACCCGTATGCCGTATATGGGCGTTTCTGTACAATCAACTCAGGACGTGTTGATTCCTATATCGGTTTTGTTCAATTTAGAATCGTGTTTTTGTACTTTGTGCGCAGACTTTAAGCTGAAACTGCTTCTTTGAACCAATTCAATAACTAAGCGGGTATTCCTGTCGCGCTTAATATTTTTTTAAATAAAGGATAGTGTTCAGGCACTGGGAAGATTTCACCGTCGTTGTCTGTAAGTCTCTTTAAAGTTTTTTTGGTAAAGCCAATAAAAGAAGAGGTATCATTTTTTCGTGTCTAATCGGAAAAGGAGAAAACGGCCAAATTGTAAAACTTCGCGGGTAGCTTGCCTTCTTAAAAACAACTAACACAACAGCGCATGCGGATAACAAAATTTCACAGCTCAATTTTACTATTAAAATATATTGGTTTGGAGCTTGTTGAATAAGAGGCTAATGCCGAAGTGAGTAAATTAGTGATAACCAAAACTGTCCAACATGTCTCTCTAAACACTTTCTCTCTGTTGTTCCTCTTGTTGTCTTCTCGTAAGTGTGTAATCACTAATGCCATGTGTCTTCATCCAATTATACCGCTCCAACATGTGATTACCCAATGGCGTTCCAAAAGAAGTTCCAGCCAATATTGGAACGGTTCGGTAGCCGCTCCAACGGTCACGCCTAACCGTGCTGATCCGGTGCAGCTGCAAAACTCCCATTCATCGGTACTGAACGGTAGCCTTGTCCTTAATGCCGGTCGCATCGCGCTGGAACGCCAGGGCCTTCGTCATTAAGTGCCTTCGTCAGCATGTCGGCCGGTTCGAACTTCGTGTCGACAAAGTCCACCTTGACCGTTTCGCGTCCCACGCTCTAACGAGTGAAGTGATGCCGGATGTCGACGTGCTTGGTCCTTGTGTGGTATCCAGCGTTCCTTGCCAATGCAACAGCACCTTGGTTGTCCTCCCATGTCAGCGTCGCTCTCATTTGCTCATGACACATGGCCTTGAGCATCGTATGTGTCCACAGCACCTCTTGAGTTCACAGGCTCAAAGCCATGTACTATGCTACCGCCGAGCTGAGTGCAACCGTCCTTCGGAACTTCGACTTGAACACCACCGGGGCGTTCCCGATCATAACCATGACATCGGATACGGAACGTCTGTCGTCGATGTTGGAGCCCCAGTCCGCGTCGGTGTACGCTTGATCCAAAGCGTTCCCGGAACGGCCTTGGTATACAACACTGTGCTCACGCGTAGTCTTCAAGTAGCGCAGAACTTAAAGTACCGCCTTTCGGTGTTGTCGCCCTGGGTCCTCGAGGAAAGGGGACAACTGTGTCTCCACGTACGCAATATCCGTCCGAGTGCATGTCGTGATGTACATTAGACACCCGACCAAGGCGCGGTATGGCTTCGACTGCATCTCGAGGTGTTCCACTTTCGTCGCTGGCGACGTATCCTTCGAGAACTTCACGTTTGATACGTACGGGCTCTCCACATCCTTAGGGTTCTGCTGATTGAAGCGTTCCACAACGTCATCGATGTATCGAGTCTGCTTGATCATAAGCGTTCCAGCTGATGTGTCATGGTTGATCTCCATACCCAAGATGAATTTGCCTGACGTGTTTGCATTCCGACAATGCAGCGGAGTTCGTGAATAAGACGGTCGCTGATATTTGCCAACGGAGCGGAATCGTTCACCAGCGTACCGTTACATATAGCATTCAGCAGAACGGAGCGGCGGAACGCATGAATCGACTTATCATGGAGAAGGCACGTAGCATGCTACATTACAAGTACATATCGACAGAGAAGTGGTCGGAAGCGATGAGTACGGCGGTTTATCTCGTCAACCGTCCCACCAACACGGCGAGCTCTGATGTCACGCCATACGAGGTGACGTTCCAAGGGAAACCTCGGATGGAACACTTGCGTGTGTTTGGATCGCAAGGGTACGCTCGCGTTGACGACATGAAGAGAACGAAGCTCAAAACTAAGCGTTTCAGGTGCACGTTCCTCGGGTGAGCCGAGAATGTGAAAGGGTATCGTGTTTACGACTGGGATGCGTCCAAGGTCAAGGTGTCGCGTTCCGTGAAACTCGACGAGCGTGAAATTGGAGGTATTTACGAGACGCCATTGCCAGCACCCACAACGGTTGTCCAGGTGGCTAAGAACGGTGATGAAGCTGGCGCTCCAACAGAAGTGGAACGCCTGCCCGTTTCGAGCGAGCCGATGGAAGAGGCGGAGAAACCTGTCCAAGACGTTGAAATGGACGAGTTAGAACCAGAACAGAGTGGAGCGCTTCAAGCGCTGCCTCCTCCAGTGAAACCTAGAACGGCAGGATTGGAACTGACAGCGTACCACTCGCCGCCAGAGGCGTTCCCCAATAAACGCCTGGTGTTCCACCCTGATACTGAGCGCTCCAGTAGATCGCGGGAGCCGGTGTTTCTACTTGAGAGCGGTCCGAATGATGATGAAGAGTACAAGTCAAACGGGAGTGACGGCCCGCCAACCCCCAAGCGGGTCAGGAGCATCTTGAAGGCGTTCTTCAGTGCGTTCTTGACTTCTTGGATCTCCTCTCGTGTCTTCGTCGCAATGATTATGTCGTCCACGTACAAGCACACAGCAATGAAGACGTTCCTGGAACGACTCACGTAGACATATTGGTCGGCATCACAGCACTTGAAGCCGTTCCGAATGAACACGCGATGAAATGTCTTGTTCCACGCGCTCGCAGCTTATTTCAAACCGTAGATTGCCTTCTCCAGTTCGCTATTCATACCATCAGCGCTCTCCAACCCGAGCGGGACGTCCAGGTAGACCACGTCCACAGGATACTGTTCAGGAACGTCGTGTCAGCATCGAGCTGTTCATTATGTAGCCGTATGTAACACATACCGCTAGCACCACACGAATCGAATTCATGTTTTTTTCAACCGGAGAGTAC